ATCATCCCTAAAAAATGATAAAACCATTGTACATAAGGAATGATAATACCATTATACCTAAGGAACAATAATTCCATTATACCTAAAGAATGATAATACCATAGTTTCTTAGGTATGATAAAACTATCGTCTCTAAAACAATCATCTCTAAGAAACAATAAAATTATCATACCTAAGGAATGATAATATCATTATTCCTTAGGTACAATAAAACAATCATTTCTTAGGAACGATAAATGCATTATATCTTAGGAATGATAAAACCATCATTTCTTAGATACGATAATACCATTGTCTCTAAGGAACGATAAAACCATTATTCCTTAGGTACGATAAAACCATTGTCCTTAAAACAATCATTCCTAATGAACAATAATACTATTATTCTTTGGGAATGATAAAATCGTCGTACCTAAGGAACGACAATACCATCATTTCTTAGGTACAATAAAACAATCATTCCTTAGGTATGATAATACCATCATACCTTAAGAATGATAAAACAATTGTTCTTAAGTACAATAATACCATTGTTTCTAAGAAACGATAATACCATTGTACTTAAGGAATGATAATACCATCGTCTTTAAGGAACAATAAAATCATCGTATCTAAGGAACGATAATACTATCATTCTTTAGATACGATAAAACAATTGTTTCTTAGGAATAATAAATGCATTGTACCTAAGAAATGATAAAATCATCATTCCTTAGGTACGATAAAACTATCATTTCTTAGGTATAATAATACTATTGTCCCTAAGAAATGATAAATGTATCATTTCTTAAGAACAATAAAACCATTGTTTCTTAGGTATAATAAAATCATCGTATCTAAGGAACGATAATACTATCGTATCTTAGAAATGATAAAATCAACATACCTAAGGTATAATAATACTATTGTTCCTTAGGAATGATAATACCCTATTATACTTAAGGAATAATACAATTGTTCTAATCAGATGTCAATCGGTTATAAATAAGATAGGTCAAATTTTGATATATACCAATCGGCTATAAGTATGCCAATCAGCTATAAATTAGATAGGTCGAATTTTGATTGATTCTTAGCCGATTTCTGATATATGCCAATCGGCTAGACTAATTTTTGATAATTTGCTAATTTTAGGCTGATTTTCGCATGTTCGATTTTTTTGATTTTGATCAGTGTATCTTTAGCTTTAAACCCATAATAAAATGATGCAGGAGTATCTAAGAAGTCTAAAAGCTTAGAATATGTTATTTTTAGATAATTTTTAAAAGCTATACAATATCTTAAACTTAGGATATACTGTTCTGAAAAAAAATTTAAATAAAAAATAAATATAGAAATATAAGAGATACTCAATGAGAGCTGAATTTATTTGTCAATATTTTTTTAATGAAGGGAATATATGCGAATGAGCTTGTAACTGACAAGAAGAATGCAAAATTTATTAGAAAAGACATCAACGAAACCTAAAGCTCTGAACGGTTTGGATTAATCTGAAAATTTTCAGTTCAAATCAACTTTAGTTCAGTTTCAGATTGCAAAAATTTCAATTCGAAAATTTTCAGTTCAGTTTGGATTTTTTTCAGATTATAAATCTAATCCGAACCGAAAAAAATCTGAATTGAACCGAAAATTTTAGATTAATCCAAAATTTTAAATCGTTTAGAACGATGAAATTATCGTTTCAAACGAACGATAAAAGGATCGTTCAATTGGAATGATTAAATTATCATTTTAAACGAATGATAAAAGAATCGTTTGATTAGAATGATTAAATTATTGTTCTAAACAAATGATAAAAGAATCGTTCATTTAGAACGATTAAAGTTATCGTTCTAAATGAACGATAAGAAAATCATTCGATTAGAATGATGAAATTATCATTCCAAACGAATGATAAAGAATCATTCATTTGGAATGATTAAAGTTATTGTTTCAAACGAATGATAAAAAAATCATTTAATTAGAACGATTAAATTATTGTTCTAAACGAACGATAAAAGAATCGTTCAATTGGAATGATAAAATTATCGTTCCAAATGAACGATAAAAGAATTGTTCAATTGGAACGATGAAATTATCATTCCAAACGAACGATAAGAAAATTGTTCGATTGGAATGATGAAATTTTATTCCAAACGAATGATAAAAGAATCGTTCAATTAGAACGATTAAATTATCGTTCTAAATGAATGATAAAAGAATCATTTGATTAGAACGATTAAATTATCGTTTTAAATGAACGATAAGAAAATCATTCGATTGGAATGATGAAATTATCATTTCAAATGAATGATAAAAGAATCATTCATTTGAAACGATTAAAGTTATCGTTCTAAACGAATGATAAGAAAATCGTTCAATTAGAACGATTAAATTATCGTTCTAAATGAACGATAAAAAAATCATTCATTTAAAACGATTGAAGTTATCGTTCTAAACGAATGATAAGAAAATCATTCGATTGGAATAATCAAATTATCATTCTAAAAGAACGATAAAAGAATCGTTCGATTGGAATGATTAAATTATCATTCTAATTGAATGATAAAAAAATCGTTCATTTGAAACGATTGAAGTTATCGTTTCAAACAAACGATAAGAAAATCATTCAATTGGAATGATTAAATTATCATTCTAAAAGAATGATAAAAGGATCATTTCAAACAATCTGAAATTTCAGATTAATCTGAAATTTTCAGTTTGGTTCAGATTTTTACCAGTTTACAGTCAGTTCAGTTTTAGATTGGCATTTTTAAGATTTATAATCTGAACTGAACTGAACCGAAATTTTCAGTTCAGTTTCAGATTAGCTTATAATTCAGATTGAACTAAACCATTCAGAGCATTAGCGAAACCCTTGCAAACAATGTGAGAAACCAACTATTTCAACCTATGGTATGTGTAATTTATATGTAGATAAGTATTATTCAAAAATATATTACTATAGGAAGAAGTTAAATGTTTTAGAAAAATCAGCGCTAGAAAGTTTTTAACTTTCAGAAGCAAGATAAAAATAGCAAATTTCTATTTTCAGAATGGAAGGAACATTTTTCAGATAGTCTGCTCTAGGTACTCTAGATAGCCTAGAAAATTTCATACTTCTTTACTTTTTATTTTTATTTTTTATCTATAGGCATATCAGTATATATCATACATATATTATATATATATATAATATATATCCCATACATAAAAAAATTTCGATTTTTATTTCTAGAACTTTATTTTTACTAGAACACCTAAGGAACTTAGAGAAGATAATATAAGAACAAGTTAAATTAAGAAAAGAACACTTTTTCCTATAATAAAATCTGCTTTAAAAAGTAGTCTAGTAAAATTTCTGTTTTAGAAAACTCAAAAAAATAGTAATTATACTCAAAAGAATTCACCAGAGAAGTATAGGAGTAAGAACAAAAGTAAAGAAAAGGTGGCCCTCATAAGTAGAATTATATTAAGAAAAGAAAATAAAAGTTTTGCTTGTAGAGGTTACTAGAAAATAGGCAGGAAAGGAGTCAAAAAAGCGAAAAGGTTCAAGAGAATATACAAAAAAAGGAGCAATCAAACTAATTCAACATTTCACATGTGCTTTATCCTCGACAAAATTGTGAGCATAACGTGAATTCAGCATTCAAGCTTAACACAATGAGTCTCACTCTCTTGTTATACCCAATATTTTTTCACATCCTACCCTAAATACATCTTTTTAACAATAAAACCTATGGTATAATCAAATCCAAGATCAACAATTAATCGTCTTGTATTAGAATCACTTAATGAGAGAAAAGACACATATAACAAAAAATCACATAGCGTAAACAAGTACTAGAACTGAATTAAACCTCCAAATAGTATATAACTAATTAGCATTCATGACAAGAAACAAAGGCCATATAATATATCAAAAAAAAATGCATACCATAAATAAACTTCAGAGTCAAACCAAAGTCTCAAATGATAAATAACAAATAAGCAATCATAAAAAGAAACGAAAGCCAAATTCTATATCAAAAAACTTCATATAATAACAATATAAAGAAAATGAAAAAGAAGAAGAAGTAACCCAATATGCAAATAAAAAGAAAAAAAGGGAAAAAGAATACTGTAATAATTACAAAATTAAGTAAGTAGAAAGAATGATCACAAAATAAGCCACTAAAAGTCTGTAGACAACTAAAAAACAAATACGTTTGTAATATAATGGCAATCAGGTAACAATCTAACAGTAACTAAGTCATAGCTTACTACAACTAGGTCACAATATAATATATATTGTAACCTAATTATTAATTAGATAATAATATAAAATGCTTAAAAAAAATATTTAAATGTTTTGAATATAAAAATTTTATATTTATTTCTGTAAAATAATTTAGGAGTGAATAGTTTATATTTGTATTCATATTTTATAATAATACTAATAAAAAGTATTGTAATTTTGCTTAATAATAGCATTCAAATATGTTTATAAAAATATTAGTTTAAATATTTAATATATATTAATTATTTTAGGATAAAGTTAAAAACATATTAATGTTTAGATGATAAGTTTTAATGATAAAATTAAATTTGAAAGATTTTATTCAAAAAAAAATAATGAAATTAAAATTATACATAAATTTATTGATTCTCAATAACAAATTAAAAAACTGGATTGATAATGTTATTATTATCAAAAAATATAAATAATTTAAATGATATAAAAAAGATAACAAATGATAATGTAGCAAAGGAGGATTTATGTAAAATTTTTCTTCAATTAAATAATTTATTAATCTTATAAGATTGGGTCTTAACTAACTATTAATGATTTATGAGTTTATATTACTTTTACTGATTTACAATATCGAGTCACGTTATAAAATATCTCGATTTTTATTGGTCAATCAATTACATCGACTCATCTGACGGGTGCGATCGATCTTTCCTTTTTTTTGGTGATAAAGGAGTTTTGAGATTTTCTACCCAACCTTGTTATTTTGTCAATATTATCAGTAGATAAAATGGATCAAGCAGTATACGAAAATCTTTCACACGCACTTTCTTCAAACCAAAGCGTACGATTAACAGCAGAAGCAAGGCTAAAAGAGTTGGAAAAACTTCCAGGTTATATATATAAATATAAAATTATTACGCGTTTGGACGCGTCTAGTCTTTAAGAGTTACATTATACTAACTAGTATTCCAATTTACTACATAAATCATATAGAATATCCTATAAGTCTTGCTAAAATGGCAATTTCACAAGAAGTGGCTATTTCATATCGACAAATATCCTTGCTCTTTCTCTTTATTAATATTATTTGTTAGTTTCCCTGTTATATATTTTTTCTTAATTTAATTATTAATTTATAATTACTCAGCAGCAATTAATCTGAAAAATTATGTCGAAAAGCATTGGTCGCCTTTGACTGATAAATTCATAGGTCCAGAGCCAGATTTTGAGGTTCATCATAATTAAGCATAATATGCTGCTATTTTGTTATATTCTGTATTATAATTTACCTTTAATTTAGATAAAAGCTGTTGTACGCGAATTAGCATTTAATGGATTATCCGATCCTTCAAGTAAAATTCGCGTCGCTTCGGTATCACTTCTTTTGTATATAATTATCGAATAGTTTTTTGTTTTTTGCGATTATTTTAATAAGGTGTATGCTTTATTGCATATTATAGGCTTACGTTATATCAAAGATTGCTAGCAACGATTGGCCTGATCATTGGCCGGATCTTTTGGATTTATTGATATCACAATTAAAGTCTGGTTCTCCAGATCAGATCCATGGTTCTATGAGGGTCCTTAATGGTAATTTTATATTAACTATTATCATACAATTGACTGTTTATAATATTTAAGTTTAGGAATAACATATTTATAATTGTCAAGAATTTTTTAAACACGATATTACGGAACAACAATTTTCTCAAGTAACTCCATTATTGTTGCCAGAACTTTCGAAAATTTTGCAATCTGAAGGGGTAAGTAGGTCCAAACCTAGATGTATTTTTTATTTCATATGATATGTCAATATTGATTTTTTAAATGTTTGAAGATTCATTCTTACAGAACTCGTGGACGTGCAATTGCGATATTTAAACAATGCATAGAAATATTGGTTATGCTTAAAGAAGAACACCCGGAAGCAATCGAGCCTTTTCTAAAGCCTATGTTACCCGAATGGTTGGAAATTTTTTCGAATATCTTGAAGATGCGAACCATCAATGACGATGAACGTGAAAATGAAGAATGTGGATTAAAATTAGAAGTTGTAAAGGTAAGGATATATGTTCTTATAATTAACATAATTCGGTAACAAAAATCTTAATTAATTTGTTACATCGTAGTGTTTGAATTATTTAATAAAACATTTCCCGAAACTACTTTCTGATTATCTTCTTATGTTATTGGAACCGATCTGGCTGGATTTGATTCATCAACGGGATAGATATCCTTTAAATATATAATATATAATTTATTTAATTTTATTGTCTTTAATTAATTCATTATTATTATTTTTTTTTTTGACGATCCAATACGTTTATTAAAATGTATGTCCGTCCTTCTGATGATCGAATAAATTTTTATCAAGATTCTGATGGAGATGTTGTCGGCTTTGAATATTTACTTTTCGCTCAATTCGAATTCATTGGTTTATCTGTCCGTAAAAAGGCAGCTAAACCACTTTTTAAGGATAATGATGGGAAGGGTAGTTTTTTAAAACAAATTACTTGGATTGCTGTGTCTTACATGCAAATGACTGAAGAACAGGTTTGTTGAATTATACATAATAAGTTAAGTTAACATTATTTATTAACTGTTCGGTTTTACATGCTTCTAGGTTGAAACTTGGTCGTCAGACGCAAATCAATTTGTCGCCGATGATGATGATGAAACTTTTAATTATAGCGTTAGGATCGCAGCAATTGATTTATTACAAGTAAGTATTCAATTTAATTGCGAAATTTAATTTGTTTTGTTTTCTTTAATCTAACAAATTTTGATGTGAAGGTATTGCTAGATAAATTTTCGGAACAAACTTTGCAAGCCCTTGCTGATACAGCCCAGCATCTTATAGAAGAATCTGATAAAGCACGTGCTACTTGTGATAAATGTTGGTATGTGGTATTTTGGATATTTATATGTTATTATTGTTCTTAAACATTAAAAGTTTAATTTGACATGTTCTAGGTGGAAAATGCAAGAGGCTTGCTTAAAAGCAATCGGTTATGTTTCTGAGGAATTCAAATCAGCAATTCAAGAGTCAAAAGTGAATTTTGACCTCACTGGATTATTTGAACACGTTGTGTTTAATTATGTTACTGCAATAGGTTCGCACTATTGAATTAATTTATTAGATTCGAATTATTACTTCCAACTAACGTGTTTATTTTTCTTCTTGAAGATATTCCTTTTCTTCAAGGACGAGCAATCGTGTTTGCTAGTCAGTTTGCTACATTCTTATCAGAAGAACTTGCGGCACGGTATATTGCTGCCACTGTCGATGCAATCCAACGAATCGAATCAATTCCTGCCAAAGTATCTTCGTTAAAAGCGTTGCAGAAGTATGTATATTTTTCATATCAATATTATTATTTATAAATTTCTATAATTTCAATCTAACTAATAACGTTATTTATTATATTAGTTTCTGTCGTTATTTAGATACAAAATATGTAGCTCCATATCAATCTAACATAATTGAAGGAGTGGCAACTCTTTTGAATGTTACATCTGAAGATTCATTAATATTAGTACTAGAAACGTTAGAGTTTGCGATCAAAGTAAGTAAATCCACGATACATAACAAATGTAAACTTGATTAACTAAATATTTTGCTAATAATTACCTTTTTCTTTGCTTAGATAAATTATGATGTAACGGCCAGATATGAGCACGTGATAGGACCATTAGTAATTGATGTATGGATGAAAAATCCTACTGGTACAAGCTTTCTTTATATTTCGGTTTATAGTTTATTAATACCTTTTCTATATACATATATATTAATGTCAACATATTTTCATATTTCAGATCATCTTATTGTTTCTGTTATAACAGATCTTTTTGAATCCTTAGCAAGCAACACAGCTGCATATGCCGCGTTTCAGTCCAGAGCATTACCTACTTTAGTCAATATAATAAACAATGCTACTGAATCTGCAGCGGTTGCGGTAATACGTCTTTATACTTTTAAATTTTTAAATTTTTTTTAAAATAATAAATATATTTATAAAGTTTGCATTTGGATACAGTCAGCAATAGATCTAATAACAAGTTTGGTTAAGGGTGGACCTTCACCTTTGCCTACTTCGTACGTTGAACATATATTTCCTTCGTTAATACATTTAATGTTAGTACATGAAGATAGGAGTATTTTACAGGTCAGTAGACATTTCTTAGTTTATCTAATTAATAAATAGACAATAATAATCCACAAAGTTTTTAATATGATTATAGAACGGCGAAATTTGTTTGAAGTACTTTATACAAAAGGATTGTGAACATATCTCACAATGGTATATAATTAAAATTTTCTTTTTGTTATATAATTCATGTGTATTAATGAAACATTTCTCTGAATTTAGGATGGATTCATCTGGAAAAACAGGCTTAGATTATGTAATACAATATATTGCAAAATCTCTTCAACCAAGTCAGAGCGAGTCTGCTTGCTTTCTCGGTGATCTAGTTGTCAAACTAATCAATAAGGTATATTTTTTTGTTGTAAATTTTGATTATATATCTCATTTACTTAAGTTATTTAAATTATATTTATAGGCGGGTAATAGGATTGTTCCTGTACTTCCAGACCTACTTAAAGCATCCGCTACCAGGCTAGAAGGAGCAAAAACTGCCACTTTCATACAGGTATCATAAGATCACGTTATGATCATATGAATAACTGTCTTGTGACTCGATTTTAATAGCAAACGACCTATATTTATTTATGTGTAATCAAATTATATTTATAAATTACCTTTTTTTCATTTGTCAGTCGTTAGTTATGATATTTGCGCACTTAATGCTAAGCCAGTTGTCGACAGTTGTCGAATTCTTGAGTACGTTGGACATCAATGGTCGAAATGGATTAGAATTATTACTTAATATTTGGCTCGAAAATCACGAGAGTTTTCAGGGGTATTATAGTATTAAAGTTAGGTATATATTGTTACGACATATTATTTTTTATTTTTATTTATCATGTATATTTTTCTTACAAGGTATCATTTTTTAGTTCCATTGCATTATCAAAATTATTTCTTTCTGGTGATCCACGAATACAAGGTATCCAAGTTAAAGGTGATTTAATTGTCACGAATTCCTCTAGTATGTATTTCCACTCTATATTCTATTATTAAAATAAATTAGACTTAGATAACTTATTATTATTATTTTAAAAAATCATTATTTATATAATCACTTATAAGGGATTATGACTCGATCAAGAACTCTAACAAGTATGTTAGATTAAGTAGATTAAATATAAATTTCTAATACTATCGAATTATTCCTCATCTCCACAATTTATATTTCTTCTTGTAGATCCTGACCAGTATATCTATATTTCCGCCAACGTAAAGATAATTAAATTACTAATTTGTGACTTTCAGAACTCATCAGACAGCGATCTCATAAAGCGATCAGAATTGGATTATGACGACGACGATGATGATGATAGCGTTGAAACCGATGATGGTGTAAGAAGGATTACAAATTCAATTATTCATCAATTTTTATTTTTTGCAACAATCCCTTTAAACAATTCAAATTGTCTTATTCACATAAGTGCGATGAATGGGAAGATGTAGAAGAACCTTCACCATTCGCCCCAGCAGAAGATTACGTTGTTCTTTCTGGTAGCGTATTTATGTTATGCGACTGCCATATTCATTTCAATGATTTCTAAAAAAAAAAAATTTTAATTTATAGAATACATAGATAAAAAGGGAACAGAAATAGACCTTGATGATGACCCAGATGTGAAAGATGACCCAGTTTATCTTACGAATCTTAGAGTAATATCATTAATTTTTTGTTTATTTTATTTTATTTTTTTACATCGAAATACAAACAAACGAATTAATTTTCATTATAGGAATATCTTACGGACTTTTTCCGTCATTGCGTAATTCAAAATGAAAATAATTTTGTTCATTTTTGTTCCGATTTAAAAGAAGAAGAACAACAAAAATTACGATTATTAGTTAATGACAAATAAACATAGCATTAGTATTTTATTCTCGTAAAATAAAACGAATGTATTTTAATTTGATTAATTTTATTCATTTCCGTGCAAGCGTGTACAGATGGAGATATAGTAAAAAGGAGCAATTGATATCACATATCGTCAAAAGATATGCCTTTTACAACTGAAAGAATTATTCCAAATTAGATTTTGTTACCAACAAATAAAACATATCTGGTGGATGACAAAATTCATTTTCATGCGAAAAATTTTTTAACGTCAACTTGTTGAAGGTATAATGGTAATGATGGATTATGAAGTTGCGTGTTCTTAAAGAAACGATTATGAAATATTACACATGCCGTCATTGCGAATACAATGATTTTGATCTTTGATGAAAATGCCCCAAAATTGTCAAAATTTAAGCGGGTTAATTGGATTATTCTCACTAAATATAACCCATTAAAATTTGTATAATTAAAGTTATATGAAATCTTTTTTTTTTTTTTATCTAAGGAAATAAAACGAATATCTATTACTTTTATGCTTTTTACGGCCAAGTATTATTACATCCAATCCAAAATCGAATAATAATTCATCAAATTCATCAAAACATAGGTCCGTAGATAAGTATTGAAGTAAATATTTTATTCATATGTATTTACAAAATTTGTCCGCAAATTTTTTTTTTTTAATAAGACGGGTGGAAATTATGCTTTTTCTAATTCATTTATTCTAATAAAAAATTACAAAATTATTTTTATAACTTGAATCATTAAATATATATAATGTCTAAAATTTTTTTTTTTTTTTTTTTTTTTTTAAAAAAAAAAAAAAGAGAAGTATATTATAATAGAATTCACGTAAGTTGCTACATAATTCCTATGGTTTTGGTAAGAAAATTTTGTAAATTCCGTAAAACCACCTCAAAAGATTTTAAATCACTTTCTTCAGATAAAACGCGGGCACCCATACCCAATAATTTCCTTACGACGCGTGTAAATTTTAATAACCTTTCAAACACCTCGGTGAATAAATCCTCAATATCTTCCTTGTTTCTTTCTTCGGAAAAGAAACATGTGGTTAATTGAGACGTTGCCAATACGAAGCTCATCTCAATGATGATGATAGAAGATTTCCAAGTAATTTGCCAAAATTCCAAATCATCAATATTATTGAACTTATTAGTGTCAAGTATATATTCCCATAATTGAACTAACGTCATGCCATGGTCTATCAATTCAAATAACGTTGCGATAGTTGCCGGATCTTTATCAGTTACTTTCATCAATGGTTCTAAATATACAAGTTGATCTGACCATGACGGTATAGACATGTGAAAAACATTATGTGATTCCGTTAGATTAATATAAGTTGCCAGAATATTTCTGTTAATTGATAAAAGTTTTTGTTGAACTTTTTGCAAAAATTTGTTCATTTCGGAACCTCCATCAGATGATGAAGTTAAATCAATGTCCGGTAGAACATTCTCGAATGCTAATTTGATCCCGCCAGTTAAAAGAATTGTTGATTGCTTCATTTCCTCCGGTGTCAGAGGTATCATCACTCTTGAAGAATATTTGGGATGCGTGAATAGATATGTTAGCTTCGCTAAAAGTATTAGCAAAGGATCATCATAGTAAAATAAGCATTCATTTGCAATATCCGGTTCCAAGGAATTTAAATGTATTGATAAATGATATAATAATATGGTAATATATTGTATCTCCTCCAATTTGAACATATTCGTCGGTAGTTCACATTCCATGGCTCGCTGAATTTGCTTCTTGTAAAGGCTGATAAATCCAACGACTGATTTCAAAATCATGTTCAAGTTCCTTTTCTCGACCGTACGTAACATAGCGGTAATAACTGCCAACATCAAACACCAAATCTTATGCCAATTTTCTTCTAGATTTGGTTCGACCTTTCCCTCTTGTAACTCCACCGAGAGCTTATTGTTACAAAATGCCGACATGATTCCATCTATAAGCAATCGCGATGCTCCAACCGGAAAATTGGCCAATGTCAGTAGAAAATATATCACCCCATCCGAGAATTTGGGTCGATCTTTCCAAGGCATCGACATCGAATAAATAAACATATTTAGAAGCAAGGTGATTATCTTCTTCTCCATAAGTATTCCCAACCAAATTGAAGGATACGGATTACACAATGGTTGTATGAGATATTCCAATACAGTTAATATTATCAAAATATCCTCCTCGCGATCTTGGTTAATCTCATCTTTCTTGATGATCACAACTAAAAAATCGCATAATTCCGAAAGAAGGGATTGGCAACTTTGTCGAAATTGCGACAATACATTATCCTCCTCCTTTAGGATTTGGTTAGCATCGTGAAGTACCCGTAGACATAATATAAGTGATTGTAAGATTGGCCGATAGGTGGTTGACGTAAAGTGACCTTCATCCAGATTTTGCGTTTGATTGATAACGCTGGTAAGAGAATTGTATAATAACGTAACTAATTCTGCGTAATGAACTATCCTAGGTTTAGATAAATCTTTCGATATGATCAGTTGCTCCATCGAGTGTAACAGCAAATCGGCAAGATCGTCACGAATAGTAATTTCTACATTATGCCCGCGTCGAATTTCATCCACAAGACGTTCCGCTACCTTCTTGAGTATCAGCCAAGATATGTCCGTTTTCTGTTCAGTGATCCAAAATCCATCAGATAATATATAAGATGTGATTTCCATAAAATACTTCCAAGACCTCAAGAGAACGACTTGAGAGCTAACTCTTGACAAATGATGAGATTCTTCACACAATGACTTCAGGAATGAATTCGCAATCGATATTTCTTTCGAGAGTCTTAACAATTTCCAAGCCAAATGTATATCGTATTTGAAATTATCTCCATAACGTCGTGTCAAATCATAATCATCACTCCAATACAAGATCGTTAAACGATTCAATTTAACCAAAGGAGACATATTCTCCTCGACAAATTTAGTCGACATGAGAATAGGTTGTTGATCGATCCGCGTAAATTTTTCAAGACAAAATTTTAACATATTTTCTTCTAGGATATTTTGAAGAATTTTTCTTATTCCTTCTGCGGGTAATGATCTAATAAATTCGCCACGATTTTTATTTTTTTTATCCTTCATCTGACTTGTAACGAGACAAAGTTCACGACCCAACAACCGGAATAAAAGAGCCTTGATATTACGTCCACAACAAATTTTTTCCACGTGAGCATTTGCTCTACTGACAACAGTTCCTTGAGATAGTTCCAAGGACTCATCTCCATGGTGACCATTATCGTTTAATCTCATGTAGAGGATTTCCGTTATGTTGATCCATAATTCATTATTTTCTCGTAATTTTTTTAAAATTATAAATTCACCTTTGCGAACATTCTCCCATAATGCACTTAGGAATCGCACAGCGGCAAGAAACACTCGAGGCTCGGTATCATAAACTTTTTTCCAATCCTTTAGGAGACCAACAATGACATCATTAATGTTCATCGAAATTTTAAATTTCCTCTTTTTATCAAGTTTATCGGTCTCTTTTTTCTTGCCTTTACGATCCAGCTGATTGGAAATCAACTCAAATCCGCCAAAAATCGCCAGTCCAATATGAACCTTGGTTGAAACTGTGAAAAAATTCAAGATAGCAACTCGTAAATCTTCAACATTAATTTCAGTCGTAAATCGTTTTATGAAATTATTATATATGATTATGGTTTCAGCTTCATTTCCAAAGAGTCCACTCAACGAGGATTGAAACGGTATAGATCTTTCACCCAATGAAAAAAGAAGTGTCATCAGCTCACTAGATAAGATGGGAACCCCCAAGCTATGTGGGTATAAAATATACGAGGAAATGACCATTATCAACCCTCGGTTAAAGTTTACATTTGTCCGATCCAACATAGCTGATTCCAACCAGGAAACTTCCGAAGTTTTTATTTTATGAATTTTGAATAACCTTAAAAGAAATGCTAATGCCAATTCCAATAATTTATCATACTTTTTCAGATGAGAATTATCAGTCCTTTCAAAATTAAAAGAAAGTTTCTTGTTCCTTTCAATAATGGAGAATAAAGGTAAAATATTGTATGAACCTTCATTCATCATAAAATGATCCCATAAGTAGTTCCGAAGAGAATTTCGTAACGAATCCTTTGTAACATCTATGATGGGATCATTATAGTTAGGAATGTCGAAATCCGGAGGACAACCTAACAAGATTTTATTGAAAACCGTCAAACACTTGATTCCAATTTGAATATGTTCCAACTCATTTTTGTATCTCCATTGATCATAAGACACAAAGACGACATTCAATATATAAGAAGTTAAAGAATGAAGTATTTCTTTTGAATTATTCCATAATTCTTGATCTTGTTCCAAATTGAAATCATCCAAGTAATTAAAGAATTCGATAGCAAGATCTAAAACGGTTATCGTAATTGGATAACGACCTTCAACACATTCTTGCTTTAACAGTAAATGATGTAATTTACAGATAAACTGAGAGCTTTCCTCCGGGAGATCATCTGAAGTTAATTTCGGTAAAAATCCTGATTGTAAAAGATAAAACACGATCTTACCCTTAAAGTATGGCAACAAGGCTTTAACGCATTGCAGACCAGAGGTGATGAAATCAAGAACGTCAGGAATGTTATTCATGACGTATTCGATAACAGCAAAGATCGTGAATGCCAGATCGTTGTGAGGTTTATTGTCTTTAAAGCACGTTTCCAAATGATCCAATATCTTTTCGACCAAACTCGGAGAACTAGATAATAGCGCGTAAAGAAGTTGTAATATTTCCTTGATTCGCGAAGGGGTTGGATCATCATTTAAAGTAGGATCGTAATCAGGAATGACCCTGCCTTGTATTAGAGGAAATGATTCCAACATCTCCAAAAAGAGTTGCCATCCGGAATATTTGAAATTCCACTGTACTAACTTGCTATCATCAAATCGTCCGATTATATAACCAGGTGTATTTTCTGGAATGGTAAATATGCCTTGATAGATATTGTCAAAAAGCTTGATTGGCTTCTTGACATAAACCACATTCACATTGGATACTTCAAATTTGAGTTGTTCATCACGAACCAAGCAGGTGCATTGACTAAAATTTTTCAACAAGACAAATATTTCTTCGGCCGAATCCTCGTCTCCGGACAGTGCAGTGTATAGTCTCATTAACGGATGAAAATTTTGAGGAAACCAAGAAATTGACCAAGTAAATAAGGAAATTCGCTTTTCAAAAAACGAATCCTCTTTAAAGAATTCTCTGCAAGGGCCACCATCAACAAATACTTGCGCGAAACATTCAACCAGGAGTTGATGTTTAGGGATCTCGTGTATTTTAAATGCTTCAAAGATTGAAATAAAGTAAGTTTTAAAAGTCCTCTTATAACCCTTTACATTTAGTTCCTCTGGTCTGAAACACGGACCTTTGAAAATCTCATGTATAGAATCTAGAACGTTAAGGTTATAAGCCTTTGAAACATTTGCTGATATCATATTATTAAAATAACTTTCTAGATCTTGATATTCCTTTGGCCAACTTGTCTCATCATAAAAATGTTGTATATGTGTTAAATACGAAGACCATAACCAGAGAAATATTCCGTTAGATGGATCATCATTCATCTTCAATGCCCTCTCAATGACTGCCCTAACATCATCTGATGGTGCCACTCGTTTATTTTTTGCGTGAACAGAAGGGAAAATTCCAGTGAAATTGAATTCAACTAAGGTCATGAGAACTATAAGAATTTGAGTAAAATGATTAACTTCAGTTAATGAAACTTGACCGTTGGAGTTGATGTGTAACGAAAGAAATTGATTATATCCAAATTTTGTGTTCATGCAATGAGTCAGGAATTTTATCAAATATTTTTTTGTTGATTGTCTAGGGATATGCTCTTTATATATCAAACATAATAATTCTAATATCCCTATTTGTTCTTTAATATATTGCATTGAAAAACTAAAAGGTTTAATGTTTTCCGGTATGAAGGCTTGTACACCGATATCAGCCAAATCTTGAAATTGATCAAAAATTCTGTCCAAAAATTCACTTATATTAAGATTTTCAATAAAATATTTTGCCGAAATATAATAATACCAATTCGTATCTTTAGAATAAAACAATAATTTACACAAAATTTTTATCAAATTCAGACGTTCTTCATAATAAAATTCATGTAATTTTGATAAATATTCTCCATTATCCAATTGATTATAATCCTCATATTCTGATTCGAAACTTTTCATTATAAAGTGAGTTGTTCGTGTATTCAACTGAAGTGCTTCACTGGCTAAACCTTGTAAGGTATCATCTTTCGAAATATTAGTGTTATGACTATTATTAAAATAATCCAGACACACTTTTAATGATGGGCTGTGATGCCTTATTATTTCTTTCATGGCATTAGGTGGACATCTTATGTCTGCTTTTTCTAAAGCAAAACGTATAGCTCGAAAAGATCTGTTAAACCCCAAAAAGGAAGGAAAGATTAATATAAACGCTCAACCAAAGAGAAAAAAAGCAAAACGGTTTGATTTTATTTTTTAAACGACGTTCTATCTTTTTTATTTTTAATTTTATTATGCACCTTAAACAGCATACTTCAAACTAATAAAAACGCGTCACAACAAAGGAAAAACCAACCTTTTATAACGATTAAATACCTCTGGGTTAACTGAAGGATCCATAAGTTCAGTTCTTCCACCCTTTTGTATTTTAGGACTTGAAAGAGGGGTATTTAACGACAACCTAGAAGTCATTATTATGGTTTTCGCGCTCAAACAATTTGGGATAGTAATAATGAAAAGTTACTTTTTTAATATCACAAGAGTTGAATAAATTACATAGTATTGTTTTATTCCCAATTAAAAATAAAACAACAAATGTGAATTTTTCGTAGTAGGTTGTACAAGATTTGTCCTTTCAAATTTTTTTTTTTATTTATTTCCATTCACATGACCAAAAAGATTGTTAATGGCTACATCATCAAATGTTTTTTAATTTTTTTAATTTGATTTGAAATATTTATTAAGATGAAATGAAAAAAAGGATAAAGAAACATAAAAATCAATAATTTAAGAATCGATTTTCACGACAAAAAGGAACATATAAAAGCTAAAGAAATTATTGCTTGTCACTATGAGGTAGAATATTCGAAGAAGATTTTGAATCGACAGGAACAGAATCATATGCAGGTGGCGGAACAACAGTATAAGCAGGGATAGGAGTATAATATACAATATAACTAGAATCTCTAATGTCACCATATTGTCTTTCGACCTTAAGTCTTTGATAATAAGCCCAGACAGCCATACAGAAATGAAGCTACAAAATGATAAATAAAAAAAAAAAAGTTTGTTAACAAAAAGAATTTGTGACATTATTTTCATGGGAATAATAATATACTTACGTCTATGAGACAACTTATTGCGAGCATGACAACCATTGAAGCAGCAGTTTTAATGTACCATTCCATACAAGATTCCATATCCATATCAACATCAGGTTGCTCAATTAATTCTGAACAAACATCTTTATCAAAATAGAATGCCACAACCGAAAATACTATTGAAATTGTAAATCCTAACATAAGTTGCCACCAATAAAACATGGCATAAATTTTCACATATTTAAGGTTATTCTATATATATTTATATAAAAAATTTATTTCTTTAGTTTATGCTCAAGAACCAATACAATTGATATTATGTTATGTTTACCTTTAACACACCAGCGATACCCGCAAGACAGGCAAAGGAAGCACCTAAATAATATGTAGATAAAACAGTATAAAAGAATCCAAATTGGCCTGCCAAGATTGAAAAATGATACGCATTTGATAGATAAGCCAACTATAAAATAAAATAGTGTAAAGAATAAGTAAATGAGAAAAGAAAACTTAAAAGAGAAGCGTCATAGAAGATGCTTTCAAACGAGCACTTACGGCTCCAAGAGAGGCTAATAGCAGGGTAGCCGTTCTAATAAATCAAAACCGTTAGTTAATAATCCTCATTCTAGTTATTCCCATTAACTTTCGTAAACTTTAAAGTGTCCTACCTAAGGCCAATACAGAAACAACACTTTGACAACATTATACTTTAAAAACTTCTAATAAATAAAATAAAAAAATTGGTTATATAGAAAGGTTTATGAGATCAGCTAATAACCTAAAACCTCCTCATTTATATTTCTTTGTACTCCATTATTTTTTTTTCCGACGCAGTATCCTTTTTTGGGCAAAGTACGTGTTTATTAAAAAACTCCGCAGTATGATTGTTTTGTTCGATACGGACTATATAAATAACGATCCACATGATTTTCCGTGAATGCATTTTCAACGAATCGGCACAACGCATGTGACGATTATCGTAATTGGGGACATCAAAAAGTTCTTAAGAGAGACAATAATGGACACGAATCGAGAATTTTTTGTCTTCGTAAATATCAATCTTTTTTATTATATAATAAAAGCAAATCACCACATCAATATATTTTGAAATGGATAAAGTGAATAAAACTTTTCTTCTAATTTAATCATTTTTAGCTAAATAAACTCATAGCTTTGATTCGCTGAATCTTAAAGTTTTGATAGAGGCGAATTATTATCGTAATAATACCCTTTTTATCACAGAATGTTCAATAAAAAGTACACCTAAAAGCTATTTTTAAATGTAGTAAAAAATGATGTGAAAGTTTATTTCTGTTAGAATTATTGTTCCACAAGTTGGGGAAAGGTTTGCATGGTGTGTGAGTGATTCGTTTCGTTCCTGATTTAATCAAATCACTTATGTTAGTAATGACATGTTAGTGGCTTATGAAACCGGGAATATATCCTTATGTTACCTATTTTACAATTTAATAAATTGTCTCGACCTAAAAAAAAGTTCATCTATATTTTTTTTTTTTTATTTTTTTTTTTGGTTTTTTTTTATTGTGGCTTTCCGTTCGGATATTTTACTTGATAATCTTTTTCACGTTTGAAGAGCAAGATATGTGGTTCGGGTGCGTGAATTAAATAATGTTCCCAACCTTGAGATTGACGTACTCCAAAACCTCTCCATTCTTCTTCTGATAACAATGTGTCTTGGGGTAAGAATTGTGCTATTTCTCTTGGTAAAGTGACGTGCCTATATTCTGAAATATCGTCGTAATATCTTGAAGAATAGCAAATGTGCGGAGAATATTCTTTTATATAGTAAGTTCTACGTTCCTCATATGGTGCGTATTTTAACTTTTCTTCATATTTGCGACGTTCTTCCTCATATTTACGACGTTCTTCTTCTGTAAGTTTCGGTGGTTCTGGCGGTTCTTGTGCTTGTTGTTGCTGCTGCTGTAATATTTGCTGTTGCTGAAGTTGTTGTTGCTGAAGTTGTTGCTGAAGTTGAGGTTGCTGCGGTTGCAGTATTTGCTGTTGACCTTGCATGATACTTCTGGTCAACCTTTTTTTTTTTTTACGTGAAAATGAAAACAAAAAAAAAGAGTTGAAAACCGAAGAAACTACCTGAAAACGTTAAAAATAATGGTTAAAAAAAAAAAAAAGACGCGACTAAACATTATTAAACTATTCGACTGACTATAACTTACTTCTACTTACAAAAAGGCAAGGGAAATTTAACGCATTAACAAATGTTACTTGAACTAGCTATTTGACTAGACAACTTTGTGATTTAATACTAAAAGATTTCGCGTTTTATGATTAGATCACATGACTCATCCATCTTTAGTTCGGTGCTACATCGAATCTAGCCAATCAAATCAAGTAAAGAATTTTTGTCAATGCTGCGCCACGACGATTGTCGGCAAACCTTGAAACTCTACTCTGAACAAGTCGGTTTCTTGCCAGAAAAAATAAAACCGATCAGTTCCTAGTATAAAAAGTTAAGGAAAACATGGCACAACCTCCGAATGTGCCACAAGCACAGCTAAAGGATCAAGTACCGAGAGATTCTAGAGTCATGCAGCTTATATTACAAGCCGCAGGAGTTGAAGATTATGAACCAAAAGTAGCTCAACAACTACTGGAGTTCGCTCATCGTAAGTTGATATTGTTTTAAAGATTTTTATTCATTAAAACTATACACATCGATATGTATGTTCTCACATAATTTGTTAATTTCATTCCATCATGAATTGGATCATCTTATTGATACTTTGGACATTAATAGGATATACAGTTGATGTTATTCAAGATGCTTCGGCCTATGCTGAACATGCCGGGAAGAATGATATTGATATCGAAGATGTAAAACTTGCAATTCAAGGTCGTATAACTCATTCGTTCACTGCACCACCACGACAAGAGGTTTGATATTTCATTCTTGAATTTTTTTTTTATAATCATAATCTTTATAAAGATTTAACGTTTAATGTGACTTTAATATAGTTCTTGGCACAACTTGCTAAAGAACGTAATAAAGAACCATTACCACCTGTACCAGAAAAGTATGGTCTGAGGCTGCCACCAGATCGTCATTGTTTAACAGCCGTTAACTTTCAACTTATACCTGAGGTGAACTCTATTTAATTTTCGTTCCATTTTCTTTTTCTTTTTCTTTCGTTTTTCGTTCTCGTTCTTGTCTTTAATTCAGAATTTTTGTTTTCCACTATATTTGTACTAAATGATCTTCTTTAAATTTAAGCCACCACCTGGTCAATTAGATTCATCATTAAGTATGGACATATCACAAGTTTTACCTGATGATAATGATAATTATGATGATATGATGGAAGTTCATCCATTTAATGTCAATAAGGATAATAATGATGATGAACCTTTTACAATGACAACTTCAGTAAAACATGAGGATTCTTCTGCAATTGGTGGGGTCGATTCAGATTATGATATGCAAGATGTTGATTCTCCTGAACAGATAGCCACTGTTACTACTACAAAAAGACCAGAAGATGATGATTATGATTTTTAATTTTTTTTCTGATTATAGATTACATAGAAAGGACTTTTTTGGATTTATATTAATATGGAGCAAAAAAATCTCACAGATTTTGACGTATACCTAATTGAATTTATATTTGTATAAGTATAACTGAAAGCATGCCAAATATTTGTAAAATCATAGACATTTAAAGGCCATATCTAGACACATCGAACGATTGTCGACATAATTTTTTGAACTTGTTTGTTTCACACCTCAACTTTTTTGTTTTTTTTTGAAAAAAAAAAGGGGGAAATAATACCATTTAAAAAATAGCTTGTTCATTTAAATCATCAACTATTTATTCTATTTAAAGTATATTCATACTTTTGAGAATCCTTACTTACAGGTAAACGGATATATCATATTTATAGGTTTCATTTACAAAATCTCGGGTATTATTATTGAAATTCAAATTCAAGCGCCAATGAATTTCAGTGTAAATACAAATAATATAGTTCTACTCCAAGTAAAAAAATTTTTTTTTAAAAAAATAAATACTTGTAAACTGGTTATACTTGTTATTTGTTCATGATATATACGTTGGATAGAATCGATTTATTTGTTACCTTAAAAAATCCTTGTGATTATGCTTAACAAGAAATCAACGATTCAACCTTCTTTAATCTAGTAATCAAAGAAGTAGCATTATAAGGGAACAAATCCTTTTCCATCAACAATTGTATTGATTGAATCAAATTTTTAAAGATCCCCGCGACTCTTTCAAACATTATCGAATTCCTTTCATCAAATTTCTTACATGTGATAAGAAATTGAGAAATATCTTGTTCAAGGTATTTACAATAATTTAAAAGAAATTCCAAAAAGATCGTTTCATTTGAAATTAAAAAATCCAATAATATTGAGTGATTAAACCCTGTGGAAATCAAAAATCTCAAGAAGAAATCATGTGAAGTACAAAAATTCAAGACGTGATTGACTTGTGATGATATGCACTCGATTATTGATCTACAAAAAGAATTTCAAAGGTTGAATAAAAAGTGAATTGTATTTGAATAAATTAATTAACTTAACAAATAATTACTTTCGTCCTCTCATGTTTTCTTCTTGAGACTCTTCGTCAAAATCGATCAACCTCCTCTCAAATTCTTTAAATAAAAGTTCCAATCGTACCAATTTTAACATGAAAGTAACTAGATCACTATCATTATTGGTATACCAATTGAATATATCTTTAATCGAATCTTCATTTTGTTGTAATAAACCTGATAACATATAACACATAAATTGAATAAAATGATTCAATTAAGTTACATTGAACTTTTGAAATGACGATCGAATCGTACTTACCTCGACTGAATGTTAAAATGTCGTTCAACATGTGAAGTTTTACATCATTTGAAATGTAATGATCGATCTCCATCACCCCTTTGTCACTTTCCATGTAAAATTTCATCAGGGAAATGTAAACCTCGATGTAAATGTTTATTAATTTCTTTACACATTCGATATTTATAGCAACATCAAATTCAATCTTGTCGTTATCAATTTGTCTATCGAAAAATTCGGTATGATCATCATCGAGCTTAAGACAACCTACAAGCTTTTGAGCATTTGAAGCAGCCAAAATTTCCTCTGTATAATTCCGTATACCAGTAAGAATTAAAAAGATCTATTATTTTATTGAAAAAGCGGTAACGAAATCTTATAAGAAAAAAAAAAAAAAAGACTAGTAAGGGAGGTGTATTTCCACTTTGTAAGATGTTTTCTTACCATGTCAATATCATTTGAAGACTTCATTGTACGATGTAGAATGTCCAAGACTTTACTGATAATCGGTGGATAATCATGACACAATAAATCACATATTGATTCAATCTTTGAGTTGATTTTTTTCAAAAGATTTTGAAAATCTTGTACTAATTGAAAGTCAAACACATTCTCTATCTCATCAATCGCAAGTTTTTTGATGTCCAAAATGATTGTGAGAGTTGGAACGATGATCAATTTTTTATCCTTACTACTCTTATCCATAATTTTTTCGAAATCAAACCGTTTATCAAGTATATTCAATAATCGACATCCCACGTGTTGTGTTAAATCATGTTCGGCCAATTCATTAATTACATCAGATAAACGATGCCTAAAATCTTTTAATATACTATGAAATATCTCCAAGGCTGATTCAACAGAAGCAGAGACTGACGAGTCTTTCAATTTATCAAGACTTGATATGTATAAATCACAAATGGTTTCTAATAATTGCCTTTGAATTTCTTCTAAATTAACATTATCTATTAACAACTTTTTAAGATGGAAAAAAGTTAAGAACAAATGGATTGATTGACGTTGACGCGTCAAAAATATATTACAGCTTGTTCTTTATGAATTATTACATTCACACCTTCTTATTAGACATTAGTAAAAGCCATAATGTCAAGATTTTTTTTCCCAAATATACAATAAAATCATCATTATGTACAAGATATCGCGCCTAAATTAATTAATAATAAAAAAATCTTTAAATAATCAATTACGACAAATTTTTTTCCCCAAAATATGTAATAGATACCAGAGTACGTTGATTATTAAAGAGAAGGTTGCAGAATTTTGTTGCACGTTCATTAACAAGGAAAGAAGTGTCATGAATGTAATAATTCTGTAACACATTCTTTATAGTGGATAATCTTATTAAAATTAGTTTTTGATGTTTGAGTTCTTTGGAAGTATCAATAGTATTTAGGAACTGAAAATCCTATTATGAATAAACGTGGTGGTATTCTGTGTATTAATAAATAATCTTAAACGAAGCCAACCCGAAGGTAATAAAATTTCTTTTTGTTTACATTTAAGAAATTCTCTAAATGTTCAACTTGAAAATCAGATGTTTCATCGAACTTCTCGGGTGGCTCTGTCGTGGTAACTTCCATGAATTTTTTTTTATAAAAAAGACAATTTTTTTACAAAACGAACGAAATATTTATTACATGCGTTCGATTTTATCACATACCCACATTGTGGGGTGATAATTGCGAGATAAATAAACATAAATAATATATATATAGAGTGATAATGATACGTCAATATAAACTAAACGATCATATATAATAGTAAATTAAGACAAGGATTTCCTTAATTGAACTTTTAATTTAACTGCATCTTCAGCGAATTTACGAATACCCTCAGAAAGTTTTTCGGTGGCCATCGCATCCTGATTGAGTTCCCATCGGAAAGTTTTTTCGTCAAAGGTGACTTTTGGTTCTGAAGTCGCTTTAGCTACGAAAATCGAATTAGTGAATTAATTAAATGATATTCAAAATCTTTCAATTCAATCAACAGATTAAAAACAATTACCTGATTCTGGACTCAATTTTCTTGCAATTGTCTTTTTGTCTTCTTTCAAATCATGTAATAAACTGGGACTAATGGTTAAGAAATCACAACCAGCTAATTCTTCAATCTCGCCAGTGTTACGAAAAGAAGCACCCATTACAATCGTTTTATAATCATAATTCTTATAATAATTATAAATCCTAGTTACAGATTGAACGCCGGGATCTTCAGCGGCTTCATATGTTTTGCCAGTGCTTTTCTTGTACCAATCAAGAATACGTCCAACAAATGGACTAATTAATGTCACTCCCGCCTCAGCACAAGCGACTGCCTTAAAAAAAAAAAAAAAAAAAATGCGCGATATTATTTATTTAAATCAAAGAGGAGGAACTAGATTTTTATGATGACTTACTTGAGGGAATGAGAAGAGGAGAGTGAGATTGCAATGAATTCCTTCTTGTTCTAACTGACGAGCAGCTTGAATTCCCTCCCAAGTAGATGCAACCTTGATCAATATTCTTTCCTTTTTAATTCCAGCTTCCTCGTAAAGTTTAATAAGACGTCTCGCTTTTTCAATTGTTGCTTCCTTATCAAAAGAAAGTCTTGCATCCACTTCAGTTGAAACTCTTCCCGGAATAATTTTTAAGATTTCTACTCCGAAATTAATCAACAATTTATCCATCGCCCACTCAACCTTCTCATCAATGGATTCATCTTTTTGTTTTGCATAATTGACGGCCGATTCAATTAATTTAACATAATTTGGTTTTTGTGTAGCGGCTAATATCAACGATGGATTCGTAGTAGCATCTTGAGGTTTATATTGCGAAATTGCTAAAAAAAAAAAAAAAAAAGGGAATAAAATTCACAAAATTAGACGCGCTTGACACCATCCATAAAAATTTGTAATACTTACTTTCAAAATCACCAGAATCCGCAACGATGGTGGTGTGTTGTTTAATTTGATCAAGAACTGATGACATAATTGATTTCCTAAAAATGTTAAAATTTTTTTTTGGGATTTGATCTATATTTATATGCAAAAAATGGTTATGACAAATATTTTCTCACTAAACTATTTTACAGTAAGGAAATGATTATATAATTAATTATTAGTAATCTTGGATGTTTTCAAATAAAGAAGATCATTGCTTATTTTCAATATCAACATTGTCAAATCATTTGGATATTACATTTAATATATATAAAAATATTTTTTAGAAAATTAAATAAATTAAATAAAGATCTTTATTAAAATAATAATTTTTTTTTTTCGTATAAATAGTATCTAATAATAAACTCAAATATACATGATTAGAATTATAAGATTTATTATTATTATTATTATTTATAAAGTCAAAAAAAAATAGAAATGTTGTCACGTGACTTGATTATCTATTATCGACTATTTAATATCAAAAAACAATTGAAAAAATGTACAAGTGAAGATATATTGATGGTTAACTTATAAACATGAAAAGCAATAACCTATTATAAATTCCTATTATCAATTAATGAGAATTAAAAAATAAAAAATTGTTTCTTTTCATTTTCCTCTTGTTAATTCATCATCTAAGACGGAGGTTCTATTTTGGGATTTAATAATGGTGATGAATGGCGACTTTTACTCCGTTCTGATGATTGTTGTGATGGTCGTTCTCCAGAAAAAGGTCTTGGAGAAGAAGTAAAGTTATGTGTATGCCCATGACTAACCAAACTCCCCTGCATTCCTTGTACTATACCAGGAGAGCTGCTTGGCATAACTATAGAAGGTCTGGTATGTAAAAGATGCTGATGTTGGCCATTATAATTTAATTCACCCATGACTGGTGTACTGCTCATTGATGACGTTGGACGTCCAACTAAATTTCTCTGCAAAAGAAAATGTGGATGCTGTCTGACCGGTGATTGAGTAAATAAATGATTAGAATGACTAGTTCCGTTAAAAGGAGAATTCACTCTGTGAATTTGCGTTATCATTTCATTTGTATTATAATTGGGAGTTTGATGAGGTTGCAACGTCGTGAAAGAACTTTGCTGCGAAACGTTGGTGTTATGCTGCGTTATTGGTGAGGTTGTTGATGAACCCGTCATGTTGACTGGACTGGATAAAACCCCAAACGCTGGAGGTCTATATACATGAGGTACGTTTATATTATAATTTTGCTGTATATTAATAGGTACGAATTTTTGTGTAGCGTTATTGGATGTGATGTTATGAATAGGAACAACCGAGTTCGTTATTCTCTGCTGTTGAATTTGTTGTGATTGCCGAGGTTGTTGATGATGATGCGATTGTTGATGTGCTTGATGTAATGGTTGATGTACTTGTTGACCAGATTGTTGCTGCTGCTGAGGCATGTATACGTAAAGCTGTGAAAAACGCTGCGATGCATGCTGTTGATTTTGAGGATTCGACATTAAATGTGCGTAAAACTGTCGTTGCTGTTCCATTTGTTGTTTCTGCATATTCTCTTGTTGTTTCTGAAACATTTGTTGCATATGATAAGATCGCGCGTATTGCTGCGACGACGGTTGCTGTGATAATGATGTTGGAATGTTATTTGGACGATGCAACTCTGAATTTTGCGTCATTAAATGATTTGGAACTTGTTGCATAACAACATGTTGCATGTTCGTTTCACCTGTTATACTATGTCTGCGATCATTAACCATTGGATCGTTACTAACTTCGCTTTCATTATCTTTACTGCTTTGTTCGTCGAACCAAGAAGCGACATCTACATTCGAAGTATTCTCTTCGTTATTCAACAATAATGAAATATTACTTTTTTGTGGCCCTTGTGGAGTAGATCTTTTTATACCGGAAGAATTTGATGGATTGTCTGACAAGCTAAATGATTGTGATATTTGTCTTTCGGTAGCTATTTGTGTAATATTTACAGAATTCTCCATAGATGATAAGAAATCAGCTCGAGGAAAGGTTGTTTCATTATTCTGAGAATTGATTGATGCATTATGTGCATTATTCCTATCATTTGATACACTATGATTAACTAGAACATTAGACTTCGCTTGTTGCTGCTTTTCTTGTGAACTCTGTATATCATCACTTGTGGTAGGTCTACTCCTAACCTCTTCCAAGTTAATTCCAATATTTTGTTTTTCATAATGTTTTTCATAGTAATTTTTTACTTGGACTTCAGTTTTTGATTTGATTACATCGGCTATTTGCTTGAACTGTTTTCCGAAATCTTTTAATGATTGTTCAAATTGGCCAACTTCTCTTTTGTTCCAATAAGATGATATTTTCTTTTGTGATATACGATCATCATTCACAGTTGAACTTTTATGTGATAAAACTTCATTATCCATTAGATTTTCAGTTTGTTTTGGACGACCTTTGCTTTTGGTTACTGAAGTTATTTCCGGTTGTGTGGAAGAATGTGTATCATTCCCGTCAAGTGACATCAAGTTAAAATTACGAGCTGTTTCTTCAACACCATCATCATTAACAGAACTTAGCTTTCGAGTCTCTTGTGCATCTGATATTACGACTGACAAATTACTATTCTTATCGTGACCTGTGCTGGGTGGGACGTATACAATATTGCGTTTTTTCTTTACCGGCTCACCTTCTTGCTGATCAGAATCTTTTACCGCTGATACTTTTGACCTTCTTCTACCCTTTGAAACTCTAGGCTTTTTAGTAACCGATAATGTACTTTCCTCTACAACCCCTTGTATACTACAAGCATGATTCGATTCAGGATTATTAACAGGTTTTTCTTGCGTTGTTGACTTTTCCTGAACATTCGATAATGCATTTGCATTACGATGTTGCGGCTGCATCGATACATCCGATCTTTCCTCAGAATTTTCTTCATTTACATCATCTTTATGTACTTCTGATTGTTCTATCGATGGAGAAACAGTTTCCGTGATAATTATTGGTGGCCTTTCAATAGGTTTATTAGAAATTTCATTAGTTTCCTCAGGAATTTCGTTAATCGACGTAAACCCTTCATTAACATTCTCCAAAACTTTAATATTATTTATAATTACACTAGTACTACTGGAATCTATTAAACCAATGTTTTGATTATTATTATTCAATGTATTGTTGTTTTTTTTCGCTTTACTATTCAGAGCGATTGTACGCTGGCCTCGACCATTTTTTGGAATCAATTCTTTCAGCTTTAATTCTTTTTTATTTCGATAATAATAAATAACACAATCATTAGCAGACTTATCTTTAAGATGCTCTGCGACTTTACCAAATTTTTTTGGAAAAGACTTGAAAAGTTCATAAAAATCTTCTCGTTCTTGATTTGTCCAATCAACGTTCAAATCGACATTGTAATCATAAAAATCTTCAGGATCCGATACACTTCGATTATTGTTAATGAATTTTGCTTGTTGTCTTTCTTTCGGATCTAAAATCATGGGAGGAATGTTTGCCCACGTTTGGCATTTACGCTGTTCATCTTGAAGTATTTTCATAACTTCTTCCATTTCAGCCTCAGATCTGACAACATCACCACGACGTCTTCCTCTATTTGTTCGAACCGGCCATCTTGCGGCAAATCCAGATGTAGAATTATTATCATTATCATCTTGTTTCGTTTTTCCTTTCGTCTTTTGCAGCATTTCAAATTTTTGTTTCCATGAATAATAAAGTGTTTTCCATTCTTGTTGCAAAGTCTGCTCTTTAAGTTTAATACTTGCTTTCTGATCTTGAAATTTTTTTACTAATAAAAGACGGAGCCGGTTGTGATCCAAAATGTTCTGTTTATAAAAAGGATATTCTGGCAAACTTTTATAAATTTCATTTGTTTGTCCCCAAGATCCAAAACGATTAAATGAATCAAAAGGAAAAACAACACATTTATTTGTTCTTTCCTTGTTTTCTGAATAAATAATTTCCCACATTGTATTTCGTTTACATGTCTCCGTGGGGGAATCTTGATAAGTATTAGAGGCATGATCTCCTTCATGATCATTTGTTACTTTATCATTTTCTGGCGAAACTGATAACAAGGTATCAACATTTTGAACATTATTTAATTTATGATTGGCAGTCAAAACATTATTAATATTCGCTTGTTCATTAGTGAGGGTTGACTCCATTTGTTCTACTTGAATTAATATAGCTTCTTGATGAAACTCAAAATTAACGCGTTTATTGGATTTAGATTTCCGATTTGCGCGTGCAAGGTTTTTTTCTTCAATGTACCTTCTCTTTTGATCAAGAAGGCTTTGATAACGATCAATTTCATTCTCAACTTTTTCTATCTCTTCTCCTATTGCATTATAATCAATTTTATCATCTTCCAATTGAGTTGAACCTTCGATAATATATCGGGGAGAATTTGTAACTTCTGGAATTACAGGTAAACTAAAGTTATCATGATTTACTTTGTCACCAACTTTACTACTAAGATTATCTAGTTGAATGTCCATTTCGCCATTTATTTTTTCATCACCACGAGAAGTCAATGTCTCTTGCGATTCTCCATTATAAATATTTATGCTAATTTGATTACGATTAATCGAAGTATCAATAGTTTCATTGCCCTTTTTCGATATCTCGACACGATATTCCGTTGAATCATCAACTGCATCAGATTCTTCCATTGATTCAAGTTCATCAGAACAAACAGATAGTTTATCTTCAAGTTGAGGTTGTGATGGTTGTTCATCATTTTCTCCCGAACTTAAATCCATATCAGCAATTTGATCGGTAACCAGTCCAGATTCCACAGCTTCATCTTTTGATAATCTTTTTTGTTCTCGTTCTTTTTGCTCATTTATAGCAACAAGACCAGGATCTATACTTCTCCACCCTGTCCAACCTCCTTTCTCACTATTGCCATAACCTTCAATATTCTCTTCTACCCCATCAAGATCATTTCCATTGAAAAGCCTTTCTTCGAATTCATTATTCGCAGTTCCAGAAGTTCGTAATTTTACAAGATTTTCATCATTATTTGATGACCTAGTTCTCGTCATTTTACAATTTTGTAATATTGGTTCTTCGGCCGGTTCTTTATATTGGATTGTTTCATCTTCATTCTCACTATGATCTATACGTTTCTGTATTGATATTTTTAGGGGACGTTTAGATGAAACAACACGCTCTAAGTCTGAGCGTCGTGGTGAAGAACCTCTTGAATTTCCAGCAGAAGACTTAGTTTTTGGAGATAATGACCGAATAGATGAAGCTTTTGTAGATCTACTACGGTTATGAGAAGGTGGAGGTGAAAAATTTGTTATTGACGATCTTGCAGATGGTGACGATGATCTCCTGTCTCGCTGTCTCCAATGATTATGTCTAGTAGCCATAAAATATTTAGATTCTCCTCCTCTTGATAACGATGTTTCGTATCTTGAATCATGTGGATCATCTCTATAACCAGGCCCTCGACGATAATCCCAGTCCCTTGGGTACCTCTTTCTATGATAATCTCGATCACGATAGTCATATGGATCGTGTTGGTTATCTCGTTCAAAATGTGAAGATATATTATTATTCCGATATGTCCGATCTCTATCTCGATCACGTTGCCTTTCTCTATCACGTTCACGCTCTCTTTCTCTTTCCCTATCACGTTCTCTTTCTCGCGAATAAGGACTTCTTCCATTAGCCCATACATCCCTCTCATCTGGATATCTATAAATGTCTCGAAAGCCATATTGATTGCCAGGACCAGGCGAAAAGTATTCTCTGTGAGCAGTTGTAGGCATTGTTGGTGAACTGCCTGGTTGACGAAATCGAGTATCTCTTGTTGGCATAATAAAACGATCGTCATACTTTGTCCGTGTCTAAAAATAAGTAAGAATCAATATATAATGTTCAATTTTCTTGATTGAATTAAATAAATAAAAAAAAAATAGTAAGAAAGAGAAATTACTTAAGTCACCCGGATTTTTTGTTGTAAAATTTTAAAATGTAATTTTTTTTTAAAAAAATAAACTCGTAAAATGTTCCATGTGACATGAAGTAGCAACTTTTTTTTTTTTTTATTTTTATTTTAAAATAAATTCCCAACGTAATAAATATTTGAAAATTTTTTTTCACAACATAAAATCCGGATAACCAAAAAATTTTGTAATGAAACAATATAATGAATGAGATCTTTATATTTAAAGATCTAATGAAAATTATTTTAATAATCAATAAATTTGATAACACTATAAATTGTTTCGATGAATAATGATTTTATATCAAAATCTTTTAATAGAAATAAAATAAATAAAATAAGTTCTATTCACCTCACGATCATTCATTAATGGAAAGCAAATTTCCGATGGACCTATATCAGACATATTATTTCGCAACATTCCTGTGGTTATATTTCTGCGTTCAAACGATGAAGTAGCGCCGCCTTGAGGTATCCTATCCATATCATCATAGTCGATCGGAGACCTTTGCCTAGGTCTTGAAAAAAGTATACCTCTATTAACAGTTTGCGTTTGAGGTCGATCGTCTCTACATTAAAAGAAGTTTACATTAATAAATATTAAATAGTATTTAAAGAATAATTATCACAAGATAATAAGTTAACAAATCGTTTATGGTACCATTGATTTGGTTAACTGGCGTACCTTTCCCTATTGAATCTTTCATTACGCTGTTCTCGATCGTCACGATCTCGTCTAAGAAAGTAACGAAAGGAACGTTAGTAAATAATCCATCGAAATGCAATAAAAAATGTTTAAGATACCTTGACATCCTGATGTCCTGAACGGTAGAAATGGTTGTTTCCATGACGTGTAAGAGAGAAAGTTTATTAAAATTTAAGAGTTGACGATGCGCATGTCAAAAATTAAAAATGATCGACATTGTGCATTTTATATGATGATCAAATACGGTTGTATCACATAAGGCTAAAAAGCAGTCTCACCATAAATTTCATCCACGTGATTTATATATTTTGGCTCAAATTAGATTTTATGCCGTTTTTTTTTTTTTAATTTAAAATATAAATTTTAATTTAGTATATATATAGAACCTTTGAGAAAACTGCCAGAAAAATCAATTATACTTTATTTTTTTATAAATAAATATAAAGTATTAAATTTCTTAATAAAATATTTTAGTAATATATTTATTATATAGTACAGAACTTTATAATCAAAAATCAAAAAATTAAAATAAAATTTTATTTTATAATTAAATTTTTATATAATTAAAATTTTTTATTATTTATAAAAAGGAATTAATTTATTAAATAAAAAATTTTTCAAATTTGATTACTTTATTTAAGTATTATATGATTATATAAATCATATTATTTATAGATCATTTTACTATATTAAGCTCATTATATATATTATCAGATACTTTTCTATAAAACTAAAGATAATATTACAATTCTAAAATACTTATTTATACTAGTTGCAATTAATTGTAACTCAATTTTATTAATATTAAAATTTTGCAAATTATATGATATTTATTTTTTATCAGTTATAGCTAATTGTAATATTATCTTTATATAAAACTTATATTTTTTAATTACAAACTCTATCAGTTTATCTATATATACATATATATACTTCTATAATTTTTTTAAGCATATTGATAAATAGTTATTAATAATACAGAATTTAAAGTTTTAAATACAATTTTTATAAACCTAATTAATTTCTCTAATATATTTTTTGGTAATTTTTTAATATATTTCAATAAAAATAATATTTTAAAAAAAATATATAAAGAATAAAAAAAAGTTTTCAAACATCTTTATAATATGATTTAATAATATTTTTATTATATAATTATGATACTATATTACAGTTATATAATTATTTATAGTTTATTTATATAAACAAAATAAAAAATTCATATCATTTTGACTTAATTCGTTTAATTTACAATAATCTCTTTATTAAATTAAAAATAATAAAAATTAATCAAAAAATAATATAAAGTTATATTAATATAATAACAGTTACTAAACCATTACAAAAATCATTAATTATAAAAGTTAACTATTTATAATATATTAAAAAGAGCTAATATTATAGAATTAATTAAATTAATGTCTTATTTTAAACAATCATCTTGAATTATGATTCTTTAATATAATCAATTTAAATATCTTTATATTACTAAAATACAGAAACTTTAAAAAATAATTTAGACAAAATATTTTAACCTAAACTTTAAATAAATTTTCTATTCAGTTAGATTAAAAAATTATATTATACAATAAACCTTTAATTTTACTAATGAATATAAAGATATATCTCTTATAATATTTAGAATACTAAAGTTAGATAAAAAAGGATTAGTCAAAAGTCATATGAAGTAATAAATTGACCTTCTCTTATTTTCAATAAAGTCATAATAATAGAGTATACTAAAAATTAACAGATAAGTAAACTTTATTCTATATTTCAATTATAGTAAAATATAACTTAAGCTGTATATATTAGAATTATTTTTTTATAAAACAAAAAAATCTAATTATTGCATTATCTAAAATAGCAACTGATAATTCACATGTTACTATTCTTCATAAATATATCATACTAACTATGAGATAAACATTCTCTAATAATAATAGTTAATTTTAAAAGATAATACTAATTTACACAAACCAAAAATTATAATAACTTTTTAGACAGAAAATAATTTTTAGATTAATTTAACTAGCTCAAAGTTCTGATTTTAACTTAATTAAAAATTTATAAACTAAAATTAAAAAGCATTTGTGTATATAAAAAGCTATTATCTAATCTTACTAATCTTGACTAATATATTAAAAAAATATAATAAAAAATTTTAATATATATTATTAAAAATTTAGTCAATAGTATATTATAATAAATTTAGATTATGATTATGATAAAAAGAGACTTTTAATTTTTGTTTTGATATTCCTATATTTATTTAAAGCCTTTGATAATTATAAAAATTATTAATAAATTTTTATAAATATAGTTATAAAATAAATTATTTTTAAAATTAATCTTATATAATTCAAAATTACATTTAATCATTTTATAAATAATATTTCATTTTATTTTTAAATTTAATATAATAAGTGTATCATATTGATATAAAAAATTTTTTATAATGTTAAAATAAAGCTTAAATTTTAACAATAAGCTTTTAAAGTTATATTATAAATAAATATAATATAAATTATAAGTTATAAATTGAATTAAAATTTAAAAATATATAATTTATTATTATTTTTAAAATTATATTATTTGTTACTTCATTATGAAGTATTTTAATTTTACTTTCTAAATAATTAACTTTTAAATAATAATTTTACTTTTTTTAATTAA